GCGCTGACTGAAGGTGCCCACTGGTGCAGAACTGGGCACTGACCCACACGAACTCAGAGGGGGCTGTAGCCTCTGGTTCAGCCAGCCCTGCGTATTGAGGTCCCAACCTAGGACAGGTGCTGGCCCCGACCCTGCTGCCACCTTCCCTTCTGTTAGCAGGGACTACTCTGTGCTCTGATGCTTCGGGATAAGAGCACAGAAAGCCTTGCTGGAGTTCTTGCAGGGCTTGTGCAGCCAAGCCCTCAAGGCACGCCACTTGCAGTGCTGCTGCGGCTGCGTCTGCTCCACAGTGCTATGTGCTGGCCCAGCCATCGAACCTGCCCCTTCTTGCAGAAAGTGACCCACGACATGGACATGTGCTACGGGATGATGGGGAGCCTCTTCCGCAGTGGCTCACGACAGACCCTGTTTGCCAGCCAGGTGATGCGCTATGCCGATCTCTATGCAGCCTCCTTCATCAATCTCCTCTACTACCCCTTCAGCTACCTCTTCAGAGCCGCCCATGTCCTGGTGAGTTACCGACTCCAGGGAGACAAGCAGGGAGCCCAAAGAGGCCTCTGCTTGTGTGCGTTAGCGCTTCCACAAGTGAGAGGCAGCAGGGATGGCACCTTGGCGCGTTAGGCAGCAGCTCAGTGTGTTTGGTGCAGTACAGAGCAGAGAGTCATGCTCTGGGGTTTGCTCTCTTGCTGTCTCAGGGAGAGACTCTGGGACAGAGACGCCCCCCGCTTCCATCTCTTCTCTCTCTTGTAGATGCCACATGAGTCCACGGTAGAGCACACACACGTTGACATCAACGAGAAGGAGTCACCAATGGCCACACGCAATCGCACTTCTGTGGATTTTAAAGATTCTGACTACAAACGGCATCAACTGACTCGCTCCATCAGCGAGATCAAACCGCCCAACCTCTTCCCCCAGGCGCCTCAGGAAATCACGCATTGCCATGATGAAGACGACGATGAGGAGGAAGAGGAGGAAGAAGAGGAGGAGGAGGAAGAGGAGGAAGAAGAGTAAGAAGGAAAAAGCAAAGCATCTCTGAAGACAAACCATGACTCTAGCTGTGATCAGGAGTGGATTCCTTTGTTGGGGCCCTTGGGGTGATGGGTTGGGGGGGTGGGGTGTGATTCTTGCAAAGGCACATTTTGAAAGTGTCCAGAAACTTTTAACAAATTAACACTAATCAGGAGGAGACCCTTGTTTTCAGTTTTGCAGACGGTTCATAAAGCCAATGGATCCTGCCCAGGTGGTGCGTTCAGCTATCGATTGCACGCCTGTGCTGTAATGCTGCTCCCATTTCATTTGGAGATGCTGCATGTTTTTTTCCTTTCCCATGACGTGTTTCATTTGGTTTTCGTTTGATCAGCGTCCTGTGAACGGTTTCTGCCCTTTGTTACATTCACTGTGAAGGAGGAAGGGATGTGCTAAGCCCCCCAGGAGACAAAAATGATCCAAATCTTCCTCCTGCCAGTTGGGTTGCTGCCCTTAACCTTCTGTTTCTGGAACACAAACACTTCCCGTGTTAGCCAGGGAGTTGCTGTGGCTTCTAGCACTGCGTTTAGCCCCTGCTTGGCGTGAGTTTCTCCTTGTAAGTGGTTCGCTTCCTCTGGCCAACTCGGATGGTGGTGGACGTCCAGTTCTTACTTGCCTATTTGCAGTTGTACACGTTTCAGCTTGTAGATGCTTGTTGTCCTCTCCCAGTGTGTCAAAGCTTTTTTTCATCACTAGCATGTGATGCATGATTTCCAGAACATTTCTGCAACAGCTGATCCGCACACTGTGTTCTCAGCGCCTTCCGTAGGTTCAACAGTAAATATTAACGCAGGAGCTTGAAGCCACTGCTTTAGTATTACGTTAGTCAGTTTGTTTTCCTCCTTGCTGCTTGTTACTGACCTTTCTGTCCGCTCAGCTTTAAGAAAGTGAAGACAACACCAGCCAGACCCGGGAGCGAGAGGGCCTGTTTTCCAGGGTGCTCTGGGCCACACCTGCAGGCCCTGCACTGGGAAACGGCGCGTTGCTGCAGGGCCAGC